AAGAAGGACTAGACCCAGAAATTTTTAGATTAATTTCAGAACTTTTCTAGAAAACCACTTGCCAATTTCTGAGCTTGAAAAGTATAAAATTTGCTTGAAGAAACGCAGATGGTTTGAGTCCTGAAAAGTTTTGACTTTCAAAACTCGGAAATGATCAAGTTTGTGAGTGCACCCTCAGTTTTTTGGAGGGGTGAGTTTCAAATGTTGAAATTCTTTGCCTTTTTGGAAATTCTGAACCTAAAACATCAAAAAAATGTAATTCGACTTATGAAATTCAGAAATGTCTAGACTGACCTCAGAAGTTACTCAGGAATTTTCAATAATTTTCAAGAAGAGAAAAAGAAATGACTGAGCGGGAAAAGTTGAAAATTTGCCAGAAACTTTAGGGATACATTTCAGAAATTTTATTTAGGAAATTTTTGAGTTTCAAAATAATAAAAAAAGAAAAGTTCTACTTTTGAAACTCAGAAAAATTATGAGATTAATCTCAGGTGCAATGGAAGGTGGACTCCTCTGACCAGAGCACCTTTGTCCGTCCTATCAGAAAACAGAAATTTTTGTCTTTTTGTTCCTTATCCATAACTGTCAGATTGGTAACGCAACGATTAGGACTTTCCAGTCTCTTGGTCACAATATGCCTGCAGAGAGATCAGACTTTTGGGCTTCAATTCTTCCACAAACTGGAGCTTATCCGCTATTTTCGTCGACTCCTTGCCTCTGAATCGGTCGCAGTCGTCTAAAGCAGCCCGATCGGTGTGAAAAGTGTTCACCCGGAGAGACCGGGACTCCGAAACATGAATAGCCCCACTCAGCCTCCAGACACAGAGTTCACCTTATCCCAGCGCCAGGTGTGTTTCCAGTCAGCTGGAGGAGCATGAGGAGGCGTAAGAGCAGAAAATCCATGAAAACATTTTCTCTTCTCTCTCATGGCAACTGCAGCTGAGAAAACACTGCTGTGAATTAGTAGGCAGAAAACACTGGAAGCTCGCCTACACACACACACACACACACACACACACACACACACACACACACACACACACACACACACTCCTTCACTCTCTCTCATGCTGCTGCTCTGTTTGGTTAAACTCCGTGGTCAGGATTACCTTATTGGGGGTGTTTATTTTTTCTGAATTTGTTGAGAATATGAATATTTGTGTGAACACATTTTGTTCACACAACTGAAGCACTTTGGACTCTCATCAGAACCAGAGAGACTTGGGATAATGGAAACAGGGACCAGATGGGTCCACACCGCAGTCTCACTGCGCTTGCTGAAACCCGGCAAGAAATGTAATCTGCTGATTTGTGTCCTTGAACTGTCTCTGTTGTGTGCGTGCGTGCGTGTGTGTGTGTGTGTGAGTGTGCGCGGGCCTGGAAAAAGAAGAAACAGACAAAGAAAAAAAAAACCAAAACATGCATACGGGAATACAATCATAACATTTCGTGAAACCATCACAAAAGGGGCAATTACCAGCATTTTAGAGGCAGAAACACCCAACATTTAAACCCAGTCGCCAGGAAAATATATTGCTATTTTTTCCCCTGCTGGATGGAAATCACAATTACACACAAAGTCGGTGTTCCGTGAACAGACATGGCAGGCCTGCTCGAATCAGCTGGGCTCCTGGGCAAATGGGACAATAAAAAGATAAAAACAAAACGCAACATTGTTTCTGAAATAGGGCTGATTAGCAGCACGTTGTAAAAATTAGCGCGGGAAAAATGTGCAGTTTGAAAGGCCGGCGAGAAAGCACTGGGTGTTTTCACACCTTTTGCCACCACAAACGTCCGTGTTGCAAAGATCGGCGTATGTGCTTTTCAAACTGTTTTTTTGTGACAAATAAAAATCTGAAAAGGTGGCTTGCATTTCTATTTACTTTGGAATGCAAACCATATTCCTTCTGCTAAACTGTAGAAATATATTGAAGTCTAATGCCTTAAAAACATAAGTGAGCTTCTTTTTTTCTTTTCAACTTACAAAGATAAGTCATTGAAGTTCCCCAGTTGATGATAATTTAGCAACTTGATCCTAGGAATTGATATTACTCAATGTAGAACATTATCCATGAGCAAAAATGATTATTCTTCAGGTACGTTCCATTTATATCATCTGAACTTGTGTGATCAGGCTGTAATTGATGATTGCTTATTGTTTGAACTTGGAACCCGGGAGTTGAAACAACTCACAAAGTAACCTACATTTACACAGCCTTTCAACTCACGTGTTAAAATGAAACTGTATTCATATCGATTATCGTTTTGAGTTGTCATGTTTGCAAGGCAGCTATTGAACTTCAAATTGCAATTTAAACTAAGAAACATTTTCTAATTGAATCCCCATTCTACACTGATGATGGCAAGTTCAGCTTTATCCGAAAAAGAAATACACTGAATGCACCTCTTGGTCTATCTATCACATAAAATATGAAATGCAGTATATTTACGTTTGTTGTTCACAAATTGTGCAGATTTCCAATAAGGGTGGGTGATCTGGGAGTCAAGTTTTACCTCGTTATTTTGTGGTACTACGATCATTTTGCCACCCTCCGAAATGCGGTGTTCGATCAGGAGCAAGCAATCAGAGCCAGAAGGAGGGTCTTAGTGCTGTCACTCATTCTTGTGTACGCGCTGCTCATACTTTTCTCTTGCTCTGTGCAAACGGTTTGCCTGGAACAATAACTTGTTTCTCCACTATTAGCACATTCAGCAGCACAGACACGAGGTTGATTCACAGCGCTAGATATCTCGTCCTAGCTCTGATTGGTTGTTTCTGCCTGGGAATGTCACGGTTCTTCATGGCAATGCTAGCTCAGGGAGGAGATGCTAGAGACCGATCTTGTCACATATCATCCGTCTCACAGATAATCAGGACATAGTGACAGTTTTAACAAACTTGTAAAATAACAAGTTTTTTATGAGAATTACACACCACAAACTTCATCAAATGACTGGCTTTAGATTTGATCTGACTTGCACTTCATTGAAATTGAAACGATGTGGTTGGCAGACATGCCAGGCTGCAGCTTTTCTTGCGACTCGTTCATTCCTCTCACGCGTTCCGGTGAATTTGTCGTCTGAGGGAAAAAGTCAAGCAAGTGTTTCTAATTCCAAAAATCCGCACTCATTATGGCTCGTCATGAGCTTGCATAAAACTCCTTTAAAAACCGGCCAGGATCCCACCACACAGAGCTCTCTGTTCAAGGACAGATTTCCGAGCCCCTTTTTCATCTCGTTATGCGCCTGACTGGATCCAACCCATGCGCCACGTTGACAGATTGATGTTTATCTGCAGCCTGAAAATAGTTTTCCTGCCTTCGCAGCGCCTTGAAAGTATTTCAACTTCTGGAACCACATTTTGTCACTTTACAGCAAACTGGAAAATATTGTGAGGTTTTTTTTTTTTTAGGCGACAGGCCAAGAAAATCTACTGTACATGCGTGAAGAGGAAGAAAATGTATGATTTCAGGAGGTAGTGTTTTGACTTTTTTGAGCTTTGCATCATGTTATGACGTCATCCCCTCATCAAAAACATACTGGGAGTGTTTTTTAATGTGCTTGAGAAATCCTTTAATCTCTCATGGAAGCCATTCAGCTGTCTGTGCAAAATGATTATGTGGATTCAGCTCCTTCAGACTAGCCAGCAGCAATTAGCCAACACCTGGTGGAACTGAGCATCTGCTGAGCTCATTGTAGTGAAACGCTGGTGAAAATATTGTTATAGGATTGATAGAACAGCGATATCATAATGACTTTGTGAAGGTGGAGTTTCAAAGAGAGTAGGAGCTTCTTAAAGAGTCGGAGGCCCAAATTAAAGGTGTTAAATGAGGAAATAGCATTTCTTTTCAGTCATATTTGATATATGTGGCTTTTTTAAAACAACTGAAGCTAACATAGTTAACTGATTGTGCTAACACACAATACACATAAAACACATAATACTACCCCTCTAAGCATTTAAAAAAAAAAAAAAACATGTACATTTCAGGCTTTGAAAGTGAACATTGTGATTAATCATGAATAATCGCATCGCTAAAGTATGATTAATCCGGTTAAAATTTTTTATTGATCGATGGCACAATTAATTTTTAATTTTTTTTAACGTACAATGCTTTTATTTTAAAAGTAATGTTAGCCACACAAATATTTGAGTCGCGTTTTTCTCATGTTCACCGCTAACCTTGTGTGGAGGCCAGACCCGCATGTCCTACGCTGCATGGTCACCTTTACTTACAGGTCCAGTGAGTGAACATTGGGGCTGTTCCCGACGTTTCTGTGTGGATGAAATCATTTCTGGAAATGATCACATGTGGATGATAGTTTCAGGTTAAGAAAAAAAAAATCAGTCCCGTGTAAACGGGTTATGAAATTGGAGTTCCAAATAGCAGCTAAATTCTTTATTACACTGAATTTATTACATAGTATCTTTGGTCTGGTTTCCGGTGAAATTAGACAAAACAAACAAAACAAAAAAAACACCTGAAACTGGTGAGAACTAACTTATAAGCAACTTATATAAAAAAAATACTAATTCCACTTATGCTTATTAGGAATATTAAGGAATCTTTTCCCAAATGCAATTCGTATCTTGCAGAAAAGTTTCTTGTGATTTACCTTTGTTTTACTTTAGGTGTACTAAGACCTGCAATAGGAACTAGACCAAAACTAGCTGGTCATATTGTGTGCAAACTTCAAAGTTAGATTCAGACTTTCTACTCTGAGGGCCTGTCACCCTGGCAGCTGTTCAAAAAAAGCAGGCAGAAAGAAGTTGCCTGTGGATTGGTCTCCGTTTAAAACCTGCATGTCGAACTCATGGACAGAACGAAGGAGCTGATTAATAAAATCCCAACACACCACACAACCTCACCCTGTCTAGGATTCGAGACCACGTCTGGGCCTCCACTGTGTCGCCGTCAGTTTCTGGGTCTTTGTAAATTATGAGCAGCTGGTTGTTCAGCTTTAAGGTTTCCCGTGAAATTAAACAATATGAACCATGACCACATTGTAAGCAGCTGATTTAAGTTTATTGTCTACTAAAAAGGAGGGTTTCCGATCCAGAACCCAGAAATCTTTGGCAACAGTAGATGTTCTTGGTGAACGCTCTTTCATCTTTGAGCTGAGTGAAGTTCAGTTCGTGATTCCAGATCCATTATGAGAAAACCCACATGGCTTTGCTGTCACTTAATGTCTTCTCTCCAATCACCATGGCAACTTGGGCCTCATCCAGGATTATATAAAATCAGAATCTGGAGGGGAGCAATCGAGCCAATATGGCCGCCTTTGAAAAAATGTTTGGTCCAAAAACAAGAGGAGAAAAAAAAAATAAATCATGCACTTGCCAACATAGTTAAAGCTCCGCCCCTTCACTCGTTTGTATATACATACATACATACAGAGACACAATGACAAAAACACAGCGAATAATGTCTGTGCAAAGAAAATGACAAGGCAAAAATCTGATCCAAAACAGTCTGAAAAATGAAGAGATGAACTACATTCAGCTACGACAGCCTGTTATAGTGCAATATCAACACAAACACACTCGCATACAGTCATGCACACACACACACACACACACACACACACACACACACACACACACACACACACACACACACACACACACACACACACACACACACACACACAGACAGAGGGTGAGATCTCAGTGGCGACTTCGGCGTGAATGTGCTGGGGACGCCTGCAGGGCCTGATCCCATTTCTGCAGAGGAGAAAAAACAAAGTGTGAAACTTCAAACCTCCAACAAGAGGTTCCCGTTCTTGTAAGATGAGGAGAGTCGACAGCATGAAAAGATAACAGAGAGAGAGAGAGAAACAGAGAGCACCACCTGCTTACTGCTTTCAGTAGTAAGTCAAGAAGCAACTCAGAAATATAATCTCAATATTTAAGAGAGACTAAATTTGTCCTTTTCTACAAATTTCCTCTCAAACTTTCCATCTCAGTACATGTAAAGTTTTCTAAGTACATGTCATTTTCTGTGGAATGCAACTTGAAGAGTTTGCCTGTTGGAAGACTTTTTTGTGGAGCATTTTAGAAATATTTAGATGGAATGCAGCTTGGGAAACTACAACATCTAGGAGCAATGCTGCTAGTACGATATTTTTTTTTTTTTAAAAAAAGCAAATATTTATTAGTTATAGTACAGCCATCTGACGTCCCACCCACTCTAATTGGCATTAACTTGAGGCTAGTTAGCTCTGCCTGCTGCTAGAGTCTCTTTTGTGAGTAATCGAGTCCAGTACGAACCTTGACTTTCCTGCGCATTTTCTCCTTCCACTTTTGCGCAATGGAGCTATCAATCAGAAGCAACCTACAGTCACAAGAAACATTAAGAGGTAAATAAAGTTCACAGTTGGACTCCTGAGCTTCAATGGTAATCTACAGCATCAAACATCGAAGAAGGACAAGAAGGCCTGTAGTTATTGTCAAAGAACAAAAACACGATGAGTGGAACACAGACGTCGCAAGGTGAATTCGTCTTCAAGTGTCCAGCTTCCACAGATATCTACCACGATGCTTTTATTAGAACTACGCCACTCGTACCTGGACCTTTCTTCGTTCTCGTAGCCCATGATGAGATACTCCTCCCCAGCAGTGAGAGGAGGACACAGGCAGGACGAGGAGTAGTAGAGCATCTGTGTCTCCTTCGGAATGTTGACCAGGGAGGACTTGAGCACCTCCTTCACGTCCACCACCGCCGTGGGCTCCAGGCCACGATTTCTAACTTCCCTCACCCTGGCTCTGATAACTGAAGAGCGAGAGAACATAGCTAAATCTCCTCTTCTGGACAAATTCCCTCCAATATGCAGTCAAGAAATTAGAATATGCGTTCCAATGAGGTCCGATTGTCAGATTAAAAGTACCTTTTGAAAATAACCTTCCATGCTGGTGTAAATAAGAAACCTATGCAATGGAGCAGGATTTATTTTCATTGACCAAAAAAAAAATATATTATGGTCTCTTTGGGTGTGCCTCAAGGACACCCCGTTGGTCCCAAATGTTTTCATTTTACTATGTTATATCTAAGTCCAGCCGAACTGACATTTTTTACATAGTTCATAAAGCCTACTGGTGTCAAACGTTGAATGGACCAAAAGTTTGCTGATACCTTCATTAAAAAGACATGTGAAACAAATAAATGATTTTTAGTGTCTTCACTGACCAGCTTACTGAAACCACTTTGCCCTTTCAGGAACTAATTTGATAGTTTCAACAGAAATAATGCGCATCCATCATACTTTTACCTGATATTGGTCCAATTAATTCTCATACAGCGCTATAGAAGTGTCAAAGACAGAATGCACTACTGGACCTCAGAGTGTTTTATTGAGAAGGATTATTAGTTAGAAGAGGAACTTGGAGCCTGGATGTTAACGAGTTTTTGTATAGAAAAATTTGTACACATTGTATTTGTACATTGTATTGTATATCGTATACAAGTCTCAAATGACTCACCGTAGTTATAGTTGTTGTTCACGTAAGTTTTCTGTCCCATTTTGACCGTCTTACACTTGCAGCGATCTAGAAACAAAACAAAAATATTTTTATTGGGTTATATTTGGCATTCATTTCGTTAGACCCTTAAAGCCTGCATTTAAATTACACAACCAGATGCTAAAGTAATTAGAAATAGCTTGCTTTAATTTTCCATTTGCAATTAGTCCAAATTTAGGTGCGATGCTAATTAGCGACACTAGGCTGTTAATAGAGATAAAACATATTTTCAAATCTCAGTCATAAGATTTCTTTCTCCTGCCTGAAATGGGTGGGGCCTCACCTCCATTTGGTCCCTGGCAGTGGAAGTTGTTGGGGTCCATTGGAAAGTCTGGACTGGATTCTGTAATGGAAAAGCAGAGTTTGATTAAGGCCCAAACATAGCGGAGCTGGGAAAATGAATACACTTTTATGTGATTTGGCCCTCCATCTGGGATTATACCACTAAAAATGATTATTTATAAAAACTCAGATCAAAGTGGAGATTTGTGAAAACTTTGTGTTTGCTTGTGTATATGGAAAAACAGAGATTTATTGTTCTATGCGCTGCAGTCTGCAACGAATAATGTGCCAATATATAAACATATTTGCTTTGTCATGGTTCCCAAATTAACATTGTCTTGTACTTTATTAACTTCATATTCTAATGTGCTTTTTAAATGTAAGGGTGTCCAAATCTGACACTAATATCGTAAATTGGTCTGATATCAGCCAAAAAAAAAGTATCGGATTATATCAGTCTGCATCTAAAGTCTCCAATATTATAGAAGTACTCCTCTCCAGCATTTAGTCCGCACCGGTATTTCTATCCACCAGAGTTTGTATCCCACAGAGAACCATTGGGTCCGTTTCTTTTTGTGTCTATTGTTGTTGTTCTCGGTTTGAGTGATGTCACTTGATCAAGCCTATTCTAACGTTCCACACTACAAACTGAATAAATATTGTTGATACTTGCAGATGTCTTATCGGGCCAATATTGATATTGGCTAATAATCAAAGATGCGATATTGGTATCATATCGGAAGTGGAAAAGTTGTATTAGAACACCCCCATTTAAAAATAGTTCAGTCTATATTTCTGTCCACACAAATGAACCTTCTGTGTGACATGTTCAACTCCAACCAGGAAGTCATCGTTGTTTTGAAGGATTTTGATTGGCTGGCAGGTTTTAGCTTGGCACTACACTGCCTCCTATGGGTTTGGCATGGTTATAACAACACAAAGGGTGTATTTGCGCGATTTAATGTGGATAAGATCGTTTCAGAAACTGAACAACAGTACTTTTTAAACGATGCAGCGTTTTTAGACAGATGTGCACAAGGTCTTAATCAGTCGCATTTCAGCCCTTTAGCCACTATAGTTAGCACTGCTATGATCGCACTTTATATTTATGATATCTTTGATTCCTCTTGTTGGAAGGTTCTACATAAAACAACAAACTTTTGTTGTTTATTTGTATATTTTATTCAATTTTAAAACCTCACCTGGGTTACACCTGGAGGGGTCCTGGAGGTATGGGTCTGCAGAAACATGGAGGGAAAATATTCAATCTTTCACAAACAAATTGGTTTTCTTATAAAGAAAATGGAAGGTAGAACTTGTCGTTACACAGAGCAATATGTGACTGGTTTGGTGCGCTGGAAGAAAGATTCGAGATAGATCTGATGCTAAATGTCACCGATTGATCAAAACTTGTCAGATGTAAGATCAACAAGTGTCTACAAGGCGCCAAGCTGCTTTCTGTTCTCGTTGGAAAGAAGAGAGTTGCTGCTCAGATCCGCCTTCTAGAAAGTTTGAATCAAGCCCAGAATCTGACAAAAATCCCACACACGATTCCAACCGTCTGCGGAGCGTTTCTTCACAGCTGCGGATCGGATCAGCGCGGCCTCGGCTGAGGCCAGATGAGCTCCGTTGGGTGGGCTCGTGGTTCCCCCCGCCCCCGCACGCACCGGCGCATTCGTTCGTGCTGTGTTCCATGCCTGCTTTTGGACTTCGGGGGAACATTTTGAACGTTTCGCCCTGGCTGAACCGCAACAAATCACAGCGAGAGGACAACCCAGAAGCCCCCGCCACGTCCAGCGGGCCGGGGGCGTTTTGCCGCAGAGGTCAAGGAGATCAGGATGAGGCTGTGTGTTGGTTTTCTTTTTTGTTTTGTTTTATTCTTCAGGACTCCCTGCTCCCCGGCTCCGCTCGGAAAGAGGCCAAGGACAGCGAGGTTTTTTCTGAGTGTAAAACGAGTGGGCTGCGTCTATCAAGGAGCTCTTTGAGAAAGTCGGTGGGAGTGGGATCAGAGGGGGAAATGACTCATGCTATCTGTTTGTGAGGAAAGCAAAACAGAGCTGCAGGAGAAGGAACGCGGCCAAAAACGCTGATAGGACTCGGCTTCTCTGAGAAAACGGGCCACGTCTGTCAGAGAGACAGAGAGAGAGATAGCATGCTGGTAAGTTCTCCATGAAGCTCCTTCACTTTGTGGCACTTACAGGCAGCAGGGAGGTCAACTTTTACACTGCAAAAACACAAAATACTGGCAAGTATTTGTGGTCTAGTTGTTAATGTAAATATCTTATTATACTTTTAAAAAGGGCAAAGCTACATAGCAAGTAATTTTTCAGCAAGATACCAGAGCTTGTTAATAATTTATTCACATTGACAAAAAAAAAAAAGTGCTTGTTGCATTGCCAGATTATTTTTTTACCTATTAGGGGAAAATGTGTCACTACAAGTGAAGTAATTAGCCAATGGAACTTTTTAAAATAAATATTTTTTTATGACATATAAAAGAAAATCAACTCTGAAAGTGTGACGTGGATTTGTATTTAGCCCAGGACTGTCCAGCGTTTGGTGTGGGGCCCATTAATAACCATCTGAATTATTTTGTTCAGGCCTCAGGGGTCTGGTTGATGCAGATGAATACTTTTATTATTATCTTTTTTTTTGGCTCTAGTTACCTTTATTTGATAGTGAACTGACAGGAAGTGGGTACTGAGAGAATGGGGTAGACATGCGGCAAAGATCACCAGGCAGGGAATCGAACCTGCGACGACCACATCGAGGACTAAGGCCTGCGTCTCCACAGCACCCCGTTCTTTTACTTATATATCTTTGCAAACAAATAAAATCATCCTGAAAAAAACCCCATAATTATTAAGTATAGTAGAAACGTTTTATGAGTTACACCACGGGTCACATTAACAGAAAGTTTTCCACATTTGACTGTTTTTTTTTTTTTTAAACCACAAAATAATCTGAAGTTTTGATGGACTACAATTTACACCCCTGACTACTCGGTGCAGAAGAGAATTTCAGAATGTCCTCTACCGTTTTAGGAATGATTATGTGAGTACCTGGTCCGTCCGCCTTGACGATGGCCTCAGGTGAGATGCACACGCCGCGGTCGTACAGCGGCAGCTCGCTGCAGGCCAGGCTGTCGGGCCAGCTGTGGTTGTACCGCTTCATCACCGGCTCACAGCCGGACTTCGCCTGCTCGCACACCGCCTTGCAGGGCTTGATGGGCTCATGCTGGAAGTCGATGGTGCAGATCGGGGCATACATGGCACACAAGAAGAAGAGTAGGTCTGGACTGCATCCAGTACCTGGCAGAACAGAAAAGCGTAGAGGTTGTTTTTGTTTTATTAAATCAACCATTAAATTGCTTTTTTGTTTCCATTTGGTTTGATTGGTTTGGATAGCTTTTACATCATCAATTGAAAACTGCTTTTCGTATTTGCTCAGGTCTTCTTTGACACTAATTACTTAGTGAAATGAAAAATTTGAAAAACTTTTTCAGTCTCTTTTGTTCTGCATGTTAAATAGAGACTTATTTTCCACTTTAACATCAATGTGCTTTGGGTTTCTGAGGTAAATCCAAAGCATGGAGCCTAAAGTTCTTATAACCACTGGACCAGGGTGGTCATAAGATTATAAGCTAAAAACTAAAACACATCTAAACTAAAGTGGAGGTCACCGATTCTTGGGTTATATTAAGCAATACTAGTAAGATGGAAGCATCATCCTGATACAAAAACAATTCGAGCTGAACATCCTAATTATTTATATGTTTTGTTTGAAATCTAGTTGATCTGTAAAGCACATTTCAACAACAAGGCAGTTCAAAGTACTTTATACCATAAAAACATCATACGGTCACCAATTCCAACAATTCCAATTATGAAGCAATCGGAATTGTTGGAATTGTTGACAATTGCTTTGATAAAATAAGTAAAACATTATATTTTACTTAAAGCAATTGTCAAAATCAAGCAAATATACATCAGATATATTGGTCAATGTTCCAGTTACTATGAATCAAAGGTATTTCTAAATAGGTGGATTTACGATGTAGAGGTTCCGTATTAGTCGATATCAATAATTCTTGATTACGTTTTACTTTTAAGTATCTGAAATACCAAATTGGGGACATGACTTTTCCTGTTTTATCCACAGTTTTCACTTCACACCATTATTTTTTCTTTTTTTTAAGCAGTTTTGAGGCATGGTGGTGAAATATGAAACTGCTGCTGCGCAAGTTACTTAACAGCTTGTTGCTAGGTAACTAAAGAAAGAGTGAGTAAGTTGATGCCACCAACCTTTCTTTCTTCTGTCAACATCCCCCAGAATGCTGTTTGGATCTGGATCGGAGTCCAGTGAAATGATTGAACATTCTATTGGACTTATTTTCTATTGACATTGATCATGTATCTATGGTGATGTATATTGCTATTGGTTAATTGCCAAGCTCCAGTTTTTAGCCATGATTTAAGTTTTAGTTTGAAGCATCTTGATGTCTTGTAGGTAGCATGGTGTTGAATAAGGGCAAACAGAGTTCTAGTCTGTAGCAACATAGGACATGCTTCAGTCTGACTTTACAAACCCTTCACCCTACATTCTGTCATTCTCCCATTCACACACACACTCACACACACATATTCACAAGATAATGGTTGTGGGCTACATCTGCCTTGGGGCACTATGGCAGACGTGAGGCTCAGTTCAAGGAACAGTTGTGCCAAACAAGCTGTTTTACCAGTCCAACAGTCTGATCTTAATCTTTACTCCCGGGATTTGGGTCTTGACCAAAAGAGCGAGATCCTGTAGAGACATTGAACTGCATCTCTTCACCCGATCTCTTGGACTTCAAGATCGGATGGGGAACCCAGTTGGGGAGCTCGGAGTAGAGCGCTTCCTCATCAAGAGGTGATCTTCCACTGAACCTCCCTTTGGAGGTTTTTCAGGCACCGTTTAAAACTCAGAGGAGGGAATATTTATCCCTACTGACCTGCAAATGCTCTGGTATCCCCAATGTGAGTTGGGGCTTTTCCAGGGAAAAGAGGCGACTTGGTTTGCCTCAACAACTTGGTTTCATAGAAGAGGACAATAATGGATGGATGGCAGTGAGGTTCAACATCAAGAACATAAAGCAACTTCCTTCCTCTCCCAGGAGGCTCCTACATCTGCTAAATGGAAACATTTTTGAAGGATGCTTACTCAGTCTCAGCTCAGTTCATTTGAACTTGAGTTGTTGGTTTTTCCCCTCAGCAGGAAGGACTTCTCTTACAGCAGAGCAGCATGTTGCATTCAGGAACCGCAGACCGACCGCATGCAGGAGGTGCAGCGGGACGGTTACCGCGACTTCCACCCCACGGCACGTTTCAAACAAGACGGAACCAGAAGAGGCTCAAAACCGGGTGGGAGATAAATCAGCCTTTTCATTGTAAGACATGCCTGAGGTTTGGCTGCGCGGCCTCACAGTGAAGTCACAGAAAGATGTTGAACTCATAACCCGAAGCTGCTTCCTAAATGTTGGATCGTGGGTCTCTCGTTAGGATGTTTTGTTTTTAGTTTATTCAGAATACAGTAATGCCAAAGTATTCATCACATTTTCACATTCTGCCATGTTCCAACCACAAAATTCTCTGGATTTTATAAAGTTCTCACCTCATTGACTGACATCCTGCCACCGTCAGGACTCAAAATGAAAACTTAAACCAAGGCTAAAAACCAAGACTTGACAGTAAATCAATAACATATGTGACTGATAGCAATTGAAAATATATCCAATAGGATGTTCTAGAATTTCACTAGACTTGGTGCCAGAACCGCACAGCATTCTGGTGTTGTAGGCAGAGGAAAGGCTTTAGCTGCTCAGTCTCTCACAGCTAGCTAAGCTAGGCTGGTAGCTCAGCTTAGCTCTCACTGAACCGCTGCCGTAAACCCTTTCAGTGTTGCTATGGTGATATCTTTAGGATTATTGTTGTGCTTTCAGGTGAACTTCAGTCGTATTCTCGGGTATTTTAAGGATTTCACCAGGTTTTCTCCCAGGACTGCTCTGTGTTTACCTCTGTCTGCCAGCCCTCCAAAGAATCCCCGCAGCATGACTCTCCCACCACCATGTTTCAGTGTGTGGGATGGAATGAGTTTTCTGTCAAAGCAACATTTCACATGCAGTCCAACATGTGGAACCAGAGTTCCTCCTGCCACATTTTCTATGTCGGCAAGTGGAAGTTCTCTGGACTTTCCTTCAACAGTCGCTGAGTCTTTAGTCGGTTATCCAAAGCCCAAACTCTTTCTCCGTTTTTTCTCCTCCATTTGAGAGAAAAAAAGAAAAGCGGCTGCGTTTTCAGCTCGCTTTAAAATCAAAATATCCGAGCGCGTTGTCCGAAATGTGACAAAACAATTCCTTTTGCGATCCCTGGAAGGAATTTAAAGTAATTTGGAAAAGACTTCTCTTTCAAATCTTAACCATAAATGTCCACTTAATGAAAATCCCAATCCTCAAAAGTATTCGGCGCAAACAGAGGCTGGTGGGAAAAAGAAGGGAAAACACACAGGAGGCTTTACCGACGTTAGTGGGATCCACCCAGCAAGCAGTGTGGATAACTGAACTGTATTTCCTGGCAGTTCATCCAGATGTTCCAAATCCAGTTGGATGTGCAACAGCAACAGAAAACAAGCGTCAACGAGCACAGCAGACGGCAACGTTTCGCCCCCCAGGAAAACTAAAAGCCACAATTTCTTAGCCAAATCAAGCTCTCCGTTTTGTTGCAAGAGGAGAAAGTCATATTTACTATTCCCCCTGAGATATGTCCTGATAAGAAGCAGAAGTCGATACAAAAACAAAGAAAACCCTCACACAGTCAAATATCTTCGGTCTATAGACTTAGCTGGTGTGTATGCAGAATGTGCAAATCTACCAAGTATTTTTATCCAGTTCCTCGTGTAAATATCTTAGTTCACCCAAAATAAGACAAAACCAACTTACAAGTAACTTTTCAGATTTAAATCAACAAGCGCTTAATGTCGATGAAAAAGTACTTGTTCCACCGGCAGATTATTTCACTTCTAATATGGGAAAAGTGTCTCATTTTTCTAATATGGGACATAATTCACATCTGTGGGATTCGTGTAAAGCATCACGGTGGCTCGGGTGCTCAGTCTCCGCGTTTCCACGGCCTCGTTTTTCCTGCCAGGGTCATCAGTACCTGGCAGGCTGCGGGAAACCCGATCCTCTGAAAACCAGGGGGAGGTTCGGCACAGCCGAAACAAATATTCGTCGCGATCAATCGTGATGAACATTTGATATTAAAATCGCCACTGACTAATTTAGTGACCAAGTAATCGTTAGCTGGAGTATGCAGGCTCAATTTGAACAAAGGATATTTGCTGAAAGAACAACACACTCAGAGCACAGATTGAACCAAAACTGTAGAAAAATAAATAAATTTTTGATAAAACATTAAAAAAAACTTTCTATGTCTGTATCTGACGTGTCTGTTGCAGCTTCACCTGATTCAGATTCAGTAAAAAAAAAAGAAAAAAAAAAAGATCAGATCAGGTCTGAACTGAATCAGTGTTGAGTTAAACAGAAAGCGCTGAAGTTTCCACGTGTTGATGTTTTAACTGCAGATTTATCCTTTTCCACAAATGTTCACTAGAGGAATGCCGTGTTACTGCATTTTAGGCAATAACGTGTTTGTTTTCTTTACAAAAGGATTAAATTACTAGCTGTTCATGTAATTTTAATCCGGTATTAAAAAGACGTAATGGGTCTAATGGAAAATCTGCAAACTGTGTCAGTTTTATTGATACTATTAAATCGTTTAATCAATATAGAAGTAAAACATAGAGAAAAGAGTGCAGCATGTCTACCTGGGTGAAAATTAGGGACAAAAAAAAAGAATGCATTTTATTTGGGGGGTTGATTATTTTCGTCTAAACTTCATTTCCTGTTCTTATTTTCGGCAGCAGCAGGACATGAGTCACTCTGGATTTAACTCGCCCAGGTTTGCTTTTCAGCAAAAGCAGCAGGAAGCACGACGGTGGATGCGAGATAAATACTTTGCACTGTGAGACTTTTGTTTGTGCTTCGTTTGAAAAGGCCTCAACAGTGAATACTTGAAGACTTCACCCAGACATTTTTTTTTTCTTTCTCTGTATCGACCAGCAGAGTCGGCAAACCAGAGAAATCAGGTCCTGCAGCAGCAGCGACCTGCGCTGCTCCTGACCCTCGGCGTCCAACGCAGCCCAAAACCGCCGGAGTAAAACGGAGGACAGAATCACATCAGTCGTCTCACTAGTCCCTTCGTCTCTTTCTGTCCAAGAAGAAACAACTTCTCAGAATTCTGGCTTCCAGGTTTATGTGACAAATACGTTTCTTTGCAAAGAAACAAAAAGCTGGAATGTGAAGACTGAAGCCCTGATCACTGCCGTTTCTGGTGACGGTTGGACTCCTCTGAGGATGCCCTTTGTCACCAATTCTGTCCAAAACTTTTATGGACACAATATCAAGTCGCAGCCAAGACGTTGAGGGCATCCATTCTTTTTCACCTCAAGACCATGTCTGTGCTTCATGGAGAGAATTTGGTCCCATTGGTTTCATCAGGTCAAGAACCTTCGTGGTCAGAAAGCTGCCGTTTCTGGGTGGAGGGAAGAGGTTCTGTTTCAGGGTGTTTCCACACCTGATGGGCAGGTGGACTCGGTGTGATTGTTATGTTTCCGACTGCTGCGGTTCTCTGAGTCAAACAAATCAAACCCATTGAAAAGCTTTTTTCCCTTCTCGTCTTCGGTGGCGCTACACCAACAACCGCCGAAGGAAATGACATGAAGACCTCACAGAACAAGAGCAGCTTCCTTCTTCACAAAATGGAAAGAAAAATGGAGTGGTGTCAGATTTTAGGGGTTGTAGGATTTCTCTATTGTCTTTTAGAAAAACCATGAGCCATCTCTTTGCGTTTGTTTAGGTTGTATTTACCCAGAATGCCCTGCTTTTGGAGCAGCCTAACACTAACCCTTTAATGAAATAGAGACAAAGGCTTGAAGGTGGACCAGAGTTTTTTTTTGTCCGCATCAGAGTTGAAATTAGAGTCTGATTAAAGCGAACCAAACAGGCCTGGTGTGAACGTAGCCTAAGTACCTCAGGATTCCTCTGGGGGGCGCTGAACCTCACAGGCTGCTGGCCTTGCGACCAGCTGAGCCCCGTAAAGCACAAGATGATGGATGGATGGATGGATGGATGGATGGATGGATGGATGAATGGATGGATGGATGGATGGATGGATGGATGGATGGATGGATGGATGGATGGATGGAAAAGTTTATGATGAAAGAGTAAAAACTGAAATATGACCTGATTTATTATTTTTTTTTTTTTGCACAAAGAGAACAAATATGAAATGCATTTAAAATGACACCAGATAGATATTTAATCAGTGGCATGTTTACCCAGATGTGAAATTGAAGATCCTCTCGATTATTTTGTTTTGCTAACATGAAAATCCTGTCTGGTTAAAGTTGCAAATGATAAAAAAAATAAAACCAAGACCAATTCGGTCTCACTGACAGGTAATAAAGTTTTTTCCCCACCGTTTTCTGTTTTACACGAAAGAAAAAGCTTTTTTTAAAAAAAAAAAAACAAACAAAAAAAAGAAACAAAAACACTAGTCAGCTTAAAATCCCAGATATCCCAACTCATATTTGTTTTTTGTTTTTTGTTTTTTTAAGTCTGGCTGAACTTTGAGGGTTTTTTTTTGTCTAAGATGATTTATGCAAATACCTACCAAAGAACCTTGAGGGATGCCCTTTTAAAAAAATTTAAAACACTGCTTTAAGTATATGTATATATATATATATATAAAAGAAAAACAACAAAAAAACTTTTCATTGACCTTTTGGGAGCAACAGGATCAAATGTCATATTATTGTAACCAGAATAAGGAAACTCGGGAGGATCTGTCCTTTGCCTAAAAACTTTTTTTTTAAGTAACTAACAGCAACACCTAAACTAAAAATGAAATAAGTGTCCAGATATGGTAGAAAACGTTTGACTTCCATGTCACGGTTCTCTGTGAGCGCAGCCCTGAACTCACCCAGCAGCCCCTCGAACTGCTCGATGGCCAGCACCGCGTTGTCCTGCGTGCTGTGGTGGAGGTGGTTCGGCATCTTGGTCATGTTCCACGGCATGGACCGGCACAGCGGGATCCGGACCGGCTCGCAGGCGGCTGCCCGGACGGCGGGCGGCCACAGGGCGCAGGACGCGGCCAGCAGAGACACGCAGAGTCCCGCGGAGAGCATGACCGGGGGCCCGGGGGAGGGAGGTGACCGGGCGGTGAAAAAAGGAGCGGCGGTCCAGGCGGTGCTCGGTGAGGTTAGATCCAAACCAGGACGGGGACCCGACCTGCTGCTGCTGCTCTCTGCTCCTGCAGCCGGAGCAAGGGTGGAGCTGCTTTCTTATGCAGACTCCTTCCACCACCTCCTCCTCTTCTCCTCTTCCTCAGGCCCTCCTCCTCTGCCATGCTCACCTCTCCTCCTTCTCCTCCTCCTCCCTCATCCTCTGCACTAAAAAACAGATTCCTTTTTGATGAAAAGTCAACATTGCTTAAGCCCCGGAAAGCTCCTGGGTGCTTGTGCCATTACAACTACAGGAGTAAGTGTGGGGAACTCACTGGCTGCAATTCCCTCCACCTAAAGTTGGAGGAATCCCACTCCAGGCTGCATTACACTTCTATATTCAAGGTATACTGGATGCAGTTATTCATCTCCTGTCTGTTTTGGTGTCGTGGGATATATATGCCTGTCTGTTTCTCGTTTTGCGGGGCCCCAAACTACAGTGAAAAAATGTCTCACTCCATACGCGGCCCACTGAAATGCCACCACCTATTACATCTTACAAGCAAGGCAGCATGCAGTTAAAGGGGCTGTTACATGTGTTTTCAGGCAACATAGTGCCAGAACAGAGCATAATCAAGTAACTGTGTTAACGTCAGTTGTCATAAAAATGTTGCATATTTCAAATGTGACTTTAAAAAAATCAGACTTTGTAATTTGACACCTTGAAATTGGGCCTCTGTCTCTTTAAGAAGCTCCTGCTCTTCCTGAAACTCTGCCTTCATGAAGTCATCACAACATGGCTCCTCTACTGACCCTTTAACAGCGTTTTTACCAGCATTTCACTGAGAACTAGCTACTATAATGAGCTCAGCTAATGTATAATTACACCAGGTGTTTGCTAATTGCTGCTGGCTAGTCAGAAGGAGCCCGAGGGGATTAGAGGGGGTGGATTAAAGGACTCCTCAAACATGCATAAAAGAATCAAAGCAACGCTCCATAAGGGAATGACATTACAACATGATGTGAAATTTAAAAAAACAAAACTATCTTACATAATAATGCTGTTTTAATTTTAGTGAGATGAGGCTGAACATGCAGCTTTAGGGCCCCCTGGTGACTAGGAGGCCCCAAGCAGCCACCAAGCTACATGACAAATGGTCTCCAGGGTCTCTCTTTTTTTTTTAAATTATTTATTTATTTATTTTTTAAACAAATCACAGTTTATTTATAAAACACTTAAGATAAAGCACTTTACAAGTATACTGAATGAAATGAAATGAAGGTCGTAATAAGTACATAAAAACGACAAGGTTGACATAATTAATTAAGTCATAACACAAAGGCTGGCCTGATGATGGCGCTATATGGAACTATACACTGGTATTAAAAGACAAGTTTCAAAACAGGTTAAAAATCCTTTACTGATCCAACAGACCTCACAGATTGTTTCAAAGGCTAAAAGAAGATCTTTTTTAACTTTTTTTATAAGTCTCCGATGATAAAAAATAGTAATAATAATAATAATAATAACAATAATAATAATTAATAAAAATATTTAATTTCAAAATCAAACATAAACAAACTTGCTATAGTTAAGACATTATTTGTGTTTCACATGAATGGAACCAGAAAGCATCTATTTAAAAAGACGTACAGCATAATGTCTCAACATTTTATTGCACAAGCTCCTTCACATACGATTTTAATAAAATGTCCTATTTAAATTGCACAAGAAAGCACAATTTTTGCGACGGAAAAATTGCAAAGTGGTGATGTTTCGACATTAGCCCGTCTATCGATCAAACTTCATCCTCGTCAGCCATGGTTAGAACACCAGGGAAAAGATGGCAGACATACAGGACAGTTTGGTGAGAACTGAACTCTGTGCATTATTAACATTATTGTTATTACTTTTTTTTCACCCATAACCTCACTCGTGAACTTGCCTTGCTTTCTTTATGTGTGGATTACTTGGGTTTCTGCCGACATCTGGTGTGAATTATATGCCATTGGCCCCATTAGAAATATTTAACCTGAGAAAGAGTTAACACATTCACTACTTATTTCTTTTACTGTATGTTTGTTTTTATGACATGGCAGAGCAAACTGAACGAGATCATATCCAGCTGTATCACCACTTAATAGCGTTGCTATGCAGACGCTGGACCTTGGGGAAAATTCAACATGGACTGAGCTGCTATCTGAATTCAAAAGTCTGGGAATTGTTGCACTAGACAGTTATTCACAGAAACAGAGCAACTTGCTGGTTGCCTCACAGCTAAATGAGAAATAATTCTGCGGAGAACGGCTGCTCACCTGCATTCACTCGGAAGCAAATGTCTTTCCTTTAGTGCGACACAGTCGACTGATAAAGTGATGAAGTGAAAACATGTTTTACATTTCATAAAACATACAGGCAGAATGTAGAGTAGACAGATTTGTTGGGACCTTAAAGAGACTGTTTGTCATTTATGGGACTAGTAAATCAAAAATCAAATCAAAATTTATTTGTATGCCACATTGGAGCAAGAAGACAGCTCAGAGTTCTTTACATCATGAAAATATGAGAACTGCATAAAAGCATAACAACATTGTACGATCACCAATTTCAAAACCAGTTACAAACGTCCCATTTTGTCAAATGCCATAATCAAAATAACCAATACCCATCAACTATGTTGATCAATATTCCAGTCGTTATGGTTCAAAAGTGACTTTAAACAGCTGGGGTTTTATTCTTGATTCAAAGGAGCTCAGTGTTTCGGCTGTTCTGCAGTTTTCTGGAAGTTTATTTCAAATTTGTGTTACATAGAAGCTGAATGCTGCTTGTCCATGTTTGGTTCTGATTCTGGGGATGCAGAGGAGAACCAGAACCAGAAGACCCGAGAGGTCTGGAACGTAGTGCATCTTATAAATTAGAGTGTTGCGTAAATGTGGCAAAATGTCTCCCCAGTGATCTCAGAAAGCGAAACTCATGTATTGTATAAAATGATCATAGATCGATACATTACAAGCTTTTTCTTTTTTCTTGTAATTTTTTTGATGATTATTTCTTCCAGAGAATGAAATCCCAAAAGCCAGTCTTTTAGAAAAATTCCAATTCTGTGGCAAAGGTCATTAATGGAAACTCATGTTGTCACAGCCTAATCATTGAATTAACTCGAAACACCTGCAAAGATTTCCTGAGCCTTTAAATGGTCACTCAGTCTGGGTCAGTCAGCTACATGATCTGCTAACTGGACATGTCCAGAGGACGGTGATGGACACCTGTCACAAAGAGAGGAGATCGGGAGTGAAGTTAACACGGGTATCTGGCAAAAAAACGGTAACATGTCACTCTGACTGACTGCTGCTGAGCTTTCGGCTGCTTTTCGTTCATCCTCGCAGTCTTCTGAACCCCCTGGGGGAGAAAAAAACAACAAACCCTGTCAACGTGCCCTCAGGCCTGGTTGCAAAACCGTCGTTCTCTCTGAATCAAGTTTTCAGATCAAATCAGTTTTTTTCATCGAGTGGCAGCGGGCGTCGTGGGAACCCTTTACATCCGCTTAAACACAGAAGCGGCAACTCGACCGGTCACCAATGCTGGGAGGACTGGGACGAACCCGTGACTGACCGAGCGACTGGAGGCGACCTTTGACCCAGGCGGGGCTTGTGGCATTAACAGCCCCGTTATTGGTCCATTAAAACTGAGTATGACGCAGCAAACTGAAGCACTTTGTGTGTGTGTGTGTGTGTGTGTGTGTGTGTGTGTGTGTGTGTGTGTGTGTGTGTGTGTGTGTTGATGGTTAGTAATGATTGTCAGATGTTGGAGGAGCTTCCCATGTAAGGGTTGAGTTACAGCCAACACACACACACACACACACACACACACACACACACACACACACACACACACACACACACACACACACACACACACATATTCACACCCTTGGCCTCTCTGGGTTTTCTGACTCATGGATCAACATGCAGAGAACTGAATCAGCACTTTGTCTTCCATCATTCGTTTACCTCTCTCCTTCTTTCTGTCTTTCTCTCCTCCACCCCCGTTCTCGACCCGTTTTTCTTTCTTTCTTCTGCATGTTCTCATGATTTAATCTCTACAAGTGTTTTTCTTTCTGACGTAAAAGCTTCTTTTCGTTGGCAGGAAAAAATCTTATCAGAGGAATGAACACACACATTCCCAAAGGTAAACACGCACATAGACTGGAAGCGCATTCCTTTTTCCCAATCTTTTTCTGTCTCTGTTCTCCCCCGTCCCCCTGGACTCCCCTAACATCACCCCTTCTGCCAGATTTTTAGTTTTGTCCCGTCTTTCTGCAATTCCTCGTCTCGTTCTCATCACTTTTCAGGTTTCAGATCAGAGGAAGGGGCTTCTCGTATCCCTGGAATGCATTATGTCATCGATGGTCCTCTCTCAAAGATAGCTGTGCTAACGTGTCCTGGACCGGGGTGGTGCGGGAGGGGAATTGGGGGTGAGAAGATTCAGTTTCACCCAGACAGAAAGCTAGTTCTCGCTGCATGTGGAAATATTCTTGGAAACTACCAAAATTGATTCCAACATAAATAAGACTGCAGCTGTACACACACACACGCACACACTCAGGGTATTGCGAAGGATCGAATGTAATCTGGAACAATTGCCGATTTTGCAGCATGTTTGCTGAAAAAAGTGACTGGTGGCTGCACTGTTGGATTTACGACGCGTAGTTAAATAAAGCCAATGCAGCACAGGCGGACATATTCACTGCAAATAGTTTTCTTCCTCCTCTAAAACCTGCTGCCCTCTGCAGCTGGAAGACATAAAGTCATCTGTGAGGGTTTACCCTTCTGGTTGAAGACACTGTTCAGTAGGTACTTGGAAGGCCTTCTTGCCAATCAAAACACACCCTAGCAGGTTATACGGTGTTTTTAGCACTTAAATGTCCATAATAAAAAGGTAAATGAAGCACCATGTGTCCTTCATATGGCTTCAGGTTTGCTCTGGCTGTTAAAGGGGCAGCATTATGCTTATTCCAGGCACATAGTACCATTTTATAGCACAATCAAAAAACTGTTACCTTCAGTTATCAAAACATTGCTGTGTATCAGTCAACCATCACAATTTAACACCTTGAAATGGGGTCTCTGTTTCTTTAAGAAGCTCCTGCCCTTTCTGAAACTCCACCTTCAGGACGTCATCACATCATGGCTCCTCTATTAAAGCTTTAACATTTTTAACCATTGATCCTCATAGTGGTAGCTCCTATAATGCGCTCAGCAGATAGTGCAGTTCCACCTGATGTTTACTAATTGCTGCTGGCTTCTCTGACGGAGGATGTTTCTAAGATTTGGCTCGGTTTTCTTGACTCCTCCATTACTTGGTGCCAACAATTCTCACCACGACCAGCCTGCACCAACCTTTACATCAACATGAACCAGGATCCCTGAAGCCTTCTCTAATCCATGCTACAGGGAAAAGGGCCCGGCAGGGTGTACCTAATAAAGCGTCCAATGTATTTAAAAACTCAAAACAGCTCTGCTTTCATCTCTTCACCTTGAACATAACCGAAGCACAATTTGACACTGTTACACAATTTGACACTGTTACACAATTTGACACCGTTACACAATTTGACACTGTTACACAAAGTACTTACAAGTAATAAAATGTATTTATGTTTGCGAATAACTAAAAACTACATTAATTCACTCAAAACCTAACTAAAGAAACATTTCTGAAAATCATTTGCATATTGGTGTATATTTTTAAAATATACATTTTAACAAAAACATGCAAAGGGTATTTAAAGAAAAAAAAGTTCACCCAAAGTATAACTTTAGTAATATTATATTTAATTGTAATATAAAGTGTACTTTGGGGGGGAGTGTCAAATATTTGGATGGATTAGAAGTATGGTTTTTAATGCATTTATTTTAAAAATATCTTAGAAAGTACGTCCAGTTGCAATAATATTAGAAATACATTTCAGAAAAAAGCAGCCTGCTGAGAACATTCATGAGGAGATTACTGTCTAAACGTGGCTGCATTTCTGTCAGGAAGCCGAGCAGCAAATCTAGAAATATGGCGCCCTCTAGTGGCACATTTGGAACATCTACCAATTGACTAAAGCGTCTTTAAATCTAAGCCTGAATTTACGAAAATGTTGTGACCTAAATACCTCAAAACTTCCAAGTTCTCCCTTGTTTATTTATTTATTTTAATAAACGAGTAACCTCATTTTTTGGGGGTGGTCATTGTTTCCAATATGGGTCCAGATTTCAGTCTTTTTTTATTTTATTTTGGTATTTTTCATTTGAATTGGAGCATAAAGGGGAACTTAAAAAAAAAATTAAATTAACTTTATTTATTACAATAAACAACCATACAGTTGTACTGTGGATATAACACAAAAAGACAATAATAATAATAATTTACCAGAGGGGGAACATAAAATAAAACATAAAGTCCAGATTTCAGTCTTGGTCCGGTTCAGCGGTCTGTGTGACGTAGCTCGGTGGCGGGTCTCGTGTTGCTCAGTAAGCCCCCCTCCTCGTCCAGGTGACGCCGGGCAGACGGGTCGACGTCACACCCCGAGCTGCTACAGCTGGAGAAAACGATGAGAACAGAAGCGCGGGTCGTTGGTTCTTTCTGTGTCCCGGTTTGAACTGGACTCCCAGTCTGTTTTTGTTTTTTGTTTTTTGTCACAGGAACGATTTCAAGGCGACAAGCGAAGCCGACCGTCTGATAAAGCAGGTAATGGACACTCCCTCCCAACTCTGAGACACGTTACCGCGCTTTAGCATCAACCCGCCAGAGGACGAAAAATGGAAATTTGCAACAGGCTGGCTATCATCTCATGTTTTTACATGGAGACATTCATTAACGCACGTTGTGCCATTTAAAAAAACAAACAAACAAACAAACAAAAACAAAAAAAAACAAAAAACTTGAACTTGAACTTTAACTGTTGCCTTGAACTTGGGCAACAAATATTAATGTAAATTGAAAAATGTACATTCTGGAAATGTGCTCTTTGGGCTTAATGAATATTTCAGCAAAAAATAAATGAATAAATAAATATGTATACAACTTTCATTTAGAATGATAATCAGTGTTAATTAATGTCCAGTTGATTTACCTCAAATCACCAGTGATGGCTGATAATCACAGTAAATGACCAGAAACTAAAAGTAACCAGACTGAAACAGAAGCACCTCAAGATGAACACTAAAAGTCAATAAATGTTACTCAAATCACAAAAAAATTAAAGTGTTCTCTATGAATTTCACCTAAAATAGTTCCTAGCTGACTTTATTCAGGCCTAGGAACATTCAGTCCATCGTCGACCAGGTTTAAAGACGTTCATAATTTTTCTTTGACGACTGGAGACCCGGTGAAATGATCGCAGGACGACTGAGAGACGTTTGGTTTCCCTTACTGTGTTGGACTGCAGCTGTCTTTCTAAGGTTGTGTGTTTTTTTTTCTGACATGAAGCCGAAGGAGACATTGGCCTATCCACTCTCTGTGTGTAAAGAGTTGTGTCAGATAGTCACAGACTTACACAGTGTGGTATTATCACAAATGCTCAAATACTGAAAAAAGTGGCACGAAAAAGGATCCCAGAGGAACTCCACCGGTAATTGTTGCTCGCTCAGATTTATCATTACCAGTTCAGTCCAGTTTGGTGCTGACTGAACTGAACTGCTGCTTACTGGTCTAAAGTGTCTTCTTGGTAGTTGTGTTTGTCTCATGTCGTCTTTACTTTGAAAAATTACTGAGCATTTTGACTCACGACCAGCCGTTTTTTTTGACAGTTTGGGCTTTCGGTGGCTGGACTTAAACAAAGCTATTCAGAAAGAAGGTGACAACATCATTAGAGCATCAACGCTCAATCTCTGAACTTACTCCAGCCCTCTAAATAGACGGGCAAATGCACTCTGAAAAATGTAATTATCGTGTGTAATTGGTTCAGTGAATGATGAATAATTAAGTTGATGAAGTGCGGGCAATTATCTTCTCTGGATTTTTTCTACTGCTTTGCGGCCATACCATGTAATTCTACAGCTATTTCATGTTCATTGTGTCAGAAAATCGTTTTTTTTTATTGGAGATACTGTGCAATACCTTGATCTTGAAATATTCCACCATCATCAATATATGACTTGAAAACAGCCTCAAAACAACAGCATTGTCAATTCAGAAACAATTTCAGAGACAATTTATTATGGTAGATTTATTGGGATACATCAGTAAATATAGGTTATTCCGAATGACGGCAATATCAGTATCGCACATTGATGTCGATACAATTTTTCACATCAATCAATCAACCAAGCAACCCGTTGATAAAACTTTATTGATGTAAACTTGTTGCTGAGCAACAAGGCATTTCAAAGAGCTTCACATCATAAAAACACAGAAATACAAAGTCACAGAACAAACAAGTGAAGAGTTACATTTTGACACCGTTACTCCATATTTCACTGATTATGCTTCAGCAGCAACTCTATAAACAGCTGGGTTTCTACTCTAGATTTAAAGGAACTCTGTGTTTCGGTTCCTTTTCAGTTTTCTGGAAGTTTGTTCCAGATTTGTGCTGCATAGAAGCTGGATGCTGCTTCTCCATGTTTGGTTCTGGTTGCGAGGATGCAGAACAGTTTAATCGCATCCATTAAACACAGATACGATAACGTGGTGATGCAGTCGAGGCCGTTTCTCACCGACGTTCCCGTCCGTCTTCTCAGGTCTGGTGAAGTTTGGCCATGCAGTCGTTGACCCAGGAGATCCGGAGCTTCTCCCGGACTCGCCTGCGGAAGCAGTGCACCCGAGTGACGTCGCTGAGTGGCCGACGCATCATCGAGACCTGGAAGGGTTCGACGATTACCGTGGTCGAAGACCCTGTCCCGCCAGAGAAGATGCTGGGCTACATCCCAGATACTTCCTGGGACCTGCAGGTCGGCTTCGTAAAGCCCTACCTGCTTCTGGGTGAGAGTGGCAGAGACAGACGAACACTCACTCAACAAATGTTACGTTACCAAGTCAAGTTTATTTGTGCATCACAAAAGAGCAAGTACTACTGGCAAATGATTTCACTTATTTTAAGACATTTTTACCATGTTAAAAGTTAAATAACCTACCAGTTGAACTTGGTACTGTTTCATCAAAATTAATAAATTATTCACTTACAGCAAGTTGAAAAGTTTGTAAGTTACTTTTGTCTTATTTCAAGTGTACTAAGATGTTTACACTAGAAATCTTACCAAAAGTACTTGGTAAGATTTTGTGTTTTTGCAGAGCGTCAGTATATTGTTGCTCATTTTTATAACTCATTCTAGTTTTTAACGCAGTATTTTAGTTTCAGCTGTTGTTTTGGTTTACCTCCACCCTGGTCAGCAGTCGGGTTCACCTCCTTGGCCTGGATGTCACTTCAGTCGACTACCACAACCTCCCGGATCAGGGCAGTCTGTAACCCAAGTGCAGAGGAGACATGACCCCTCAGGACGTACATGTGACAGCTGGATGAACCTTTGACCCGCACTGAGCTCGGCGTGGCAAACGGATCCTCGTTTGGGTCCAGCGTACTCCGAGTCTGGAACTACGCGTCTAATTGACTCACTGTGTGTGTTTGTGTGTGTGAGCAGGTTCCCAGGATGCTGCACACGACTTTGGCACCCTGAGGAAACACAAGGTGAGCAGGTCAGGTCGGGTCGGGTCACACACGACTCCAGCCTGTTATGAACTGAGCATTGGGCAAAAGTTTTGGGTTGGCCATCTTTTTTTCGTCTTCCGCATCTATAGATAAATATTCATATGAAGCACCTTAAACAAGTATTCCTGCCCATCAAAGCTTTCTACATTTTGTCCCATCAGAACCACAAATGTTGGTTTATTTTAGAGGTATTTTATGAGGCACAGCAATACAAAGTAGTGCTTCCTGTAAAAGGAAAGAACAAAACAAAGCAAGGTTTTCAACATAAAAATAGGGCAGGTGTGATGTGAATATCGTCACCTTCCTGAAACAATAGCCTAGGCCTTTTTTTTTTTAAAGGTTTTCAGTAAAGATGTACTGGTTGTTTTAAGTAAACAAGTATTAGTATTAATGAAAAAGTTCCAGTTCCACTGACAGATTATTTAGCTTACAGCAAGATGTTTTTCTCATGTCACAAGTGAAATAATCTGCCATTTTTCATCAATATGAAGAATTATTTACTTACAACAAGCTTCTACATCTTGCTGAAAATGTACTTCTAAGTTAGTTTTGTCTTATTTCAAGTCTACTAAGATATTTGTACTAGAAAGAACCAAATTTACTTGGTAATATTTTGTTGTTTATTCCACTTCAGGGTTTAAGAGTACACAGATTGAGAGGCTTCTTAGCGCCGCTGGCCCATCAGCATCGTACCCTGTAAATATCATTTTCTCGAGAGCTGTTAACCGAAGACAAGCACAGCGTAGTTACGCACTCAGTGTGTTTATATGCAGCCTGAATGCCTCTCATTCAGAGCGTCCATCCGTGCGTGCCACACACTTCGGTCCACCAGTCAGCCGTTCTTCCTCCTCAGGTTTCGCACATCCTGAACGTGGCGTTCGGCGTGGAGAACGTGTTTCCGGACCTGTTCATCTACCGGACCGTCAGCATCCTGGACCACCCTGACGCCGACCTGCTGCAGTGCATGCGGGACTGCTGCGACTTCATCCAGCGGGCGCGCAAAGAGGTAGCGCCTCCGTCCTCGGGGCAGATTTCCTCTGCAGCAATGTGTCAAAAGTGCTGCAAATGAATTCTGACCCTGTCAGCCGACCTCGGTTTAATCTGCGTTTGCAAAACCGATAACATCGCAGGGATATCAAATGACCAGATGAATTTAAAGGCTACTGCAACGTAAGGCGAAGCACTTTAGATTGTACTTTCAATCGACAGTACAAACGAAGAACTTGACCTGAACAACAAAAAGTCTAATCAGTTAAATAAGTAAAATAGATTCTTTTCCATCCCACGGAACATAAAAGTGCTTTGACCGACCAAAATTCAGAACAGTTATGTGCTTTTATTTAGAAACCAAGTTCCTTAGATGTTTCAAATGTTGCCACAATTCAAGCACAATTTATCATAATTATGAAACAGAAGAAAAATGAATCACCTTTTGCTGCATTTGCAGCTGCAGATCTTTCTACCAGAGACTGAAATCTTTGCCCGTTCGTCTTTCCCTCCCGGTTGTGACGTGGCTCAAGTCTCGCCACGTTCCACTTTAAGTAAAAGAAAACAAAATCAATCAGGATGTGCGGTTGGCCCCCCACCTTCTTCAAATCAGGCAAATTTTGTGCAGCAAAATTTTTTGTTTTTGATAACATCATTTCAAAGATATTACAAAATGTTTACAGAGGTTGTGAAAGGTCAAGCAACCCTTTCACCCACCTTCTTCAAATCAGATGCAATTGGTGTCAATCAACTGAACTACGATTGTTCTAGTTCGTACAGCAAAAATGTTTTGTTTGTGCTGCTTTGGCTTTGAAGATATTAATGAACATTGAAAGGTCAAAAGGTCAACCAGCCCCACCAATTTTAATAAATCCAGATGACCTTTTGCGGCACAAACAAAGAATTTCGCTGCACAAAACAGCAGAAACTTATGACACCAATTTTGTCTGACTTCAAGAAGGTGAGTTTGGGGGAAAACTTAACTCACGTAAAGTTTTGGCATCAGAATGAAGTGTTTTTTTTTTTCTTTTTCGCAAAACAGCAATAGAAAAACTTTATTTTTATTTACTTTTTTTTGCAATACGGGTCACATGATCAAGACCAGTGGCGTAAACCAACGAAGAAGGCAACAACAGGAAGTAGTGGAAGGACGGTGACATGGAATGTTTTTAACGCGTCACGGTCACAAACTCAATCACGTGCGATTTTGATCGCGCTTCTTATGTAATGCAAAAATCACAATTGCAAAATTGCGTCTTTTCGACGTCGGCAGAACGTCGACACGGTTTTGCTCCCGTTTGTAACGGAAACGTTTCCCACATGACTTTAGCTGAGATGACAGCGCATTCTGCCTCGTGTTTGCAGTAGCTGAAAAACATTCCCTTGTAACTCTTCCATAAGTCCAGATTTGTGGAGTCCTTCAGTAATAACTTCTTTGAACTTCTCCACAATGTGCTTCATGAACCCGGATATCGTCCTACAGTCTCTAACGAACCTCTGAGGCCTTCATGCTTTTGGGTATGAACAGTTTAGTGTTGTGACAGACGTCCTGACATCTTTGCCACTTGCTTCCTCTCCTCATTTCCTCTCCTCTTTTTCAGCTCTGAATAATAGATGCTTAGTTTTGTTGATGTTTTATTAAACAGCCTCTAGATCAGATCTCGGTGACATACAAGCTTTTAGCAGCGGAGCCTGGGCCTCACCTTAACATGACACCACACACACACACACACACACACACACACACACACACACACACACACACACACACACACACACACACAGAGTGATTAGGCAGTCATTAGAGGTGTCTGATTACTGGAAGTGTGTATGAATTCCTGGTGATGAAATGGTTCTGTGTAAGTGTGTGTGTGTGTTTTTGGTAATTCCAGCCCTGATAACCAAACTGATTCATTTACTTTGAAATGCAGGCTCAGATTACCCAGCAGGCCACCTGGTTGATCGTGACCAATAGATATTGATGTCGCTATGACAACCCCAAACATCTAATTGCTGAAGGACGGACAGTAGAAGTATAACAGCTTCGCAAAATGTGCTGCTTTTAAATTGCCGTTATAAATTTTTTTTCCCCTCAGCAGATTTTCAAGCTCATATTTGATTTCCAGATGCAACTTATTGTTTTCATTGTTTTGCAAGAAAAGATATAGATATACTTTTTTCTTGATTCATTTGTTCTTATCATGCATTCCTCACCATTTAACCAAAAGTTTCAATGTGAACTTTTCCTACCAGCTATATTTCTAAATGTGATGAAGTAAACAATTTTTTAAATCTAATTTTGGATCATTTAATTGGTTTGTCCAGCGCTGTCCTGCTGTCCTGCTGTCCTGCTGCCCGGCCCGCCCCTTGCCGGGCGGTGTGAAGCGTTCTTTTGAAGGAACATGTGGGCTGTAATTGAGAAGCTAATGACTTCCTAAAGACACAAACAAACAAGCTGTTTAGTTCGGCTCAAAGAGCTCAGAGAGCCGAACTAAACAGCAGCAGGTGAACAGAGCCAACTTGTGGTCAAATAACGCCACTGCAGCAGGCGTTTGAAATCCAGCAGCTTCAGCTTCCATCTGGTTGTCAGGTCCTCATTGCTTTCAAAACTGTTAGTTTATCGATGTATAAAAGGAAACCGAACCTGGGGGAACGCTGGTCGTTGCAGACAATTTCATGTATTTCTAGAAAACAAAAGCTTCAATTATTTGTCAATTTATAACCCAGTTGTATAATTTGACGTGAACTTTTCTCTTACACTTGCTTTTCTGTCCCGGCCAGAGACAAACTATTAGCCAAATAAAGAACTAAATGATTCCATAAGGAACTAAAACAAAGCGGCAGCTTTCCTCCTCGTCTTCACCAAGTCATTGTGTAGAATAGCTCAGTTTAAACAAAATAACCTTTCAACGATAGCTAAGGTCATGCATCTCTGGTGTAACGGCGAGGATTTTTGTTTCAGGCGATTCAAAACGACTATGAATAAAGTAAAAAGGAACTGAAGGGAATGTTTGCATCAAAGTTTGGCTTATGTAATTATTAATAACTATCATGAAAGTTCACTTTTCATCAAATTATTAATAAGATATTAAGTAATAGAATCAGGAGAACCATTTCAGTCTACTTAAAATCAATCAAAAATACTTCAATAATCCCAGTCTCTCATGAAGGAATGAATCCAACACTATCAGACAGCAGATACAGCAGCGCCACATGGAGGATGATTGGTAGCGCTTAAACCCTCCTCCTGGCTCTGATAGGTTGATTTCTTGTCACTACCCTCTCGCATCATAATGTCACAACATAGTGTGGAAAGTTACATATCAAAGCTTTTGGAGACTAATTTATTAGTAATGGTATAATATTAAAAAAACAAGACAATTGTTCATCATAGAGCAACGTGACCCCCAAATGTGAAGCTGATTTGTGTGTGTGTGTGTGTGTGTGTGTCTTAAGAGAACAATGGGTCTAAAACTTGGACAAGCAGCTGAGCCATTAGAACAGGGGTCACAAAAGTTTGTTAGAGTTGTGACATAACTAATTGAACTGCTGGGAAATGTGATCTGATTCATTTGCTTGAGGGAAGTCCTGTAGTGCCAAGCACAGAACCTTGAGGCATACCACAAGTCAGTCGTGTTGAAGAGAAATTGCCATGACCAGTAGCGACGATCAAATACTTTAGAAATTTGAATCAGTACATTTTTTCTTGGCTTCAAGTTTAATCAAGCGTTGGTCTCAGTTGTGACGCGACTGTGTTTCAGAAAGGCGTTGTGTTGGTCCACTGCAACGCTGGTGTGTCCCGCGCCCCGGCTGTTGTCATCGGCTACTTGATGTCATGTGACGGACGGTCCTTTGAAGACGCGCTCTCACTGGTGAAGTCTGCCCGGCCGGCCTCCTCTCCCAACCCCGGCTTCCTGGAACAGCTGAGAAACTACAAACCGCCTACAGTGAACGGCTCCAAAGACTGAAGGCTGGTGAAGGTCATACAGTCCGACGAGAAATCTCTGTGATTGCAATAAAACATTGTAAAGAAACGTTTAAACATTTCTTCTGTGTCGATTTGTTTTTCGTGGTGCAGGAATACTCTGAAGAGTTTGCAGGAAATGTTAGATACCAACCATCAGAGTGGAATTAGGCCCAAAAATAACTGCAACTATCAAAACTTCCTGCTTAATTTCTATTTATTTTCTGTGTTTTATGCCTTCTTGTGAGTTTTAAATTTCAAAATATTCTTCATGAGCTTCTTACCAGCAATAAGATCTCTCTTTTACTCTGATGAATTTTTTTCCTACATTTTAAAGCTTCTATCCAGTGATGTATTTCTTTTTTACTAGCAACATCATATCAATGGTGACAAAACAGTTTATGACGAGTAGAAATGAATTGAACTTAATACAGTCAATTCACATAAAACTACAACAGATGTATAGATGGACATCTTGAAGGCACATTACAAGACAAATATATAAACTCAGTTCAAGTCAATCAGACAGATTAAAAGTTAGTTTTATACATTCCGATGTAATCCTTGTCATAATGTTAAACTCCATTTATTATCTCATTTAACACTTTCTAAGTTAAAAGTATTATTTGTTTTCCAGACATATAATGACATTAATAGCACAATAACTATTTTACCTTCAGTTGTTATTTATATCAAACATGACTTAACTTTAATTTGACTTTGTACTTCAAAGCCTTGAACTTGGGTGTCTGTCTCTTTAAGAAACACCTGCCCTTTCTGAGGCTCCGCCTTCAGGAAGTCATCACAACTTTGCTCCTCTATTAACCCTTTAACGTTGTTACCAGCATTGTACTGAGCAGTAGCTCTGATAATGAACTCAACGTTTGCTAATTGCTGTTGGCTAGTCTGAAGGAGCAGAGTGGGGGAGTTGTGGGCTCTGTGAGGTGGAAACTTGGAACCTGCAGCTCAGAGGAGAAGCTCAAAACTCCTAGATCCATCCAGGTGTTTTCCACAGCTGAATGGTTGCCATGCAGATTAATGGATCTCTCAAACATGCACGAAAGAATCAAGACAACACTCCAGGTATGTTTTCAATGAGGGAATAACATAACACAATGTACAGCACAAAAAAGTCAATGTTGCGTATTGCTGCCCCATTAAAGAAGTGGCTGAGGGGTGGGGCAGCTGCTGGCGAGTTGTGATTCCAGACTTGATGGAATTGGACTTTTTCTCAGTTTACAGAACACAGATGGAAAAGAAGGCGACACAGACCACAGCTGAGGTTAGAGGTCAGTGGGCTTGATTGCAAAACTGAAGCAAAAAGAGAGAAAAAAGAAAGAATGCTGGCATAATTTTCAGTTTATCACTTTCTTAAATTCTTACCCTTTAAAATGTTCTTTCAGAAAGAGATGAAGAAGCAACTTTTGTTTATTTTATTGCACATAAAAAACGAACTGTACTAATAACTGCTAGTAGATACAGCAGGCTGAGATTACCTGAATATTTGATCACATCAAAGCTCTCACTGAGGCAATTAATAAATTACAACTAAGGAGGAAGTTTGAAAAAAAAAAAAAAAGTACTCAAATGGGATGATCCAGATTGGATTAAAACCAGTGACCTGTGGACGCATTAATGATGAAAGCTTCCCAACCCATCACTCCAGAATCCCGTCAACACTCAGCCTCAGGGTGATTATTTGCACATGGACGTTGGATGCGTCGCACGCGGGTCTGGATCTCTGGACGTCTTCACGTCACGAAGCTCTGACTCGACTTCGGCTGTGATCTGAAACACAGACGTCTCAAAGCTGCGGGCCAGTCGGCGCTATGGGTCGGGCCTTCACTGCTGTCAGGATGCTGCTGGGCGTCGTAAAGATGTGCGCTCTGACCGGGTATTTGATTTGGGCAGCTCTGAGTTTTTGTCGCATCCCCAAGAGAATGGCTATAAAAAGACAAATACAGCAACTCCACAACAGGTACGTTGGCACGACGGGAATGCAACTGTTAGTATATTTTTGAAAAACGATTGGAGAAATAGGCTGGACTCACTCACTGGACATTTTGTTAGTTGTACCTTTCTAGTGGCAGTTTGGATGCTCTTCATAACGCAGGTTGTTATGGAGGGACGGACATGGTGAGCAGTAATACTTTGGCAGGTTGTGGCATATAATGTTCAGTAAGAGCTAAAGGGTCTTGGGTGTGTCAAGAAAAGATCCCCAATCACTACACTACCTCCAGCAGCCTGGACCATTGATCTCATGGAGCCATGCTGTTATGGTCTTAATGTCAAACTTCTGTCTGCACCCTCGGCATGCTGCAGCTGAAATCAAGAGTCGTTGAATCCGCCGCCGTTGTTTCAGTCTTTTATTGTTTTAGTGAATTTGTGTGAATTGTGGCCTGACTTTCCTGCCCTCCGTCTACTTCGAAGTTCAGCCTGCCGTGCATTCGGAGCTCGTGTTCCCCATACCTTGGTTGTGACAAGCGGTTATCTGAGCTGTTGTCCGCACTCCTGTCAGGTCAAACCAGCTTGACCATCGACCTCTGACTTCTCACATAAGCAGCAGTAGATCTTATGCAAAAACAATGTCCTGGAAAATGCGATTAAAGCACATAGTTTGGTTTTGAGCACAATCCCTCTGTGGTTTCAAAAGAATGCTGTTTGGAAGCTAATGTCGGTAACACTTTATTTGAGGGGGTGCGCACACGACTGATATGATACATCCATGAAGGAGTCTTCATGAAGGATTAGTCCTGCTTTTGTCCAGTTTACATCCTCCCTAGTTTGCTGAAACGCATTTTTGGAACCAGCTGTCAGGAAATTAGCAATTTTTTTTTCCCTGCCAATTAATGTATTAATTACTTTCTGGATGGAGTTTAATAAGAATTTTCATTGCTATCCTCACTTTCTTCATTGGGAGATTTTGATTTCAAAGTGAAATAATTAATGATCGCTTGCAGCAAAGCGAACTGCAAAAGTAATTTAAATCCACACCTTTTCCTGGGCCGGCCCGGGTGAAAGTCAGCTCCTCTAAATCTGAACGCGGAGATGCCGAAAGACATCAGGAGGTGTCTGTCCCAAAGCAGGAGCTTACGTGTCTCAAGCGATGGCAAAAGAGGTTGGTGGACAGAGAAGGGCTTCGTCTGGACAGACGCCAGCTGCTGCCTGAGAGGAGAGCCAGAAAGGAAAGCTCTTGATTTATTGCTTCGTTATGTTAAGATCCTCACCTTTGTCATTAAGATATGAACCATGGCCCAAAGAACAAAGTCCTGGATGCAAATATAACAATACATTTATGCCGATGATCATTTCCAGGCGGGCCTCGACGGAGATCGAAGAGAAAACGTCATCTGCAGTTCACACAAACAGATGTGAACTATTTACCTAAGACTGATCTGGTCTAGATTCAGATTCGCTGCAGGTTGGATTGGTCCTTTTGAATGTTTTCTCGCTGTGAGACAACGTTCTGCCAGGCCCCTCTGAATATTAATGCATTCATTTAATTAACAAAATTACAGTACCGTCTCCAGTAATTTGATTTTTAATCCTCGTCAGAGGTCATCTGTTGGAGCATGACCTCCAGCAGGATTTAAAACGGGATTGCTACTCCATGAACCAGGTCATCCATCAGTGTCAAGGTTAATGAAAAGAGTTGGAAAATATGGCATCAATTATAATATTGATAATAATCATGCAAAATGACAGTTTAATCCTAAAATGACACAGAATTTTCAATTCTAAAAATCACTGAGTTTTTTTCTTCGAAAGTCAGACTTGAATGAATATGAGTTACATTTAATTTCCCATTGGGATGAGTAAAGTATTTATGAATGTCAATTTGAAATAGCCTTCCTTGAATTGCACTATTATTGCACACACTATTAGTAATTATTTTCAAGAAACTTTGCATAGGCCCTTTCACCTCAGGCCTCTTTGAGCTTAAATCTGTCATGTTGGCTATTTTCTAAAGACATCTATAGCCAAGGGATTAAGAGCTTTAAAGGAGCAGTATTATGTGTTTTGCAGGTACATAGTTCCATTTTGTAGCACAGTCAAGTAACAATTTTGCCATCAGTTGTTATAAAAATACTATATATGTCAAATATAACTGAAAAGAAAATTGACAATAATATTTAATGCCTTGAAATTGGGCCTCTGTCTTAAACTCCGCCTTCAGGAAGTCATCACAGCATGGCCCCTCTATTAACACCCCGATATCGGACCTGATCGCTGGTCTCCAGCTCCAGGTTGTTTCTCTTTAGGTCCAAAGATACATGCCGTACATGTTTTAGGCGTTTCCCTTCTGTCTAGCACCGGGCTTGAGTAAGAGGCTCGACTCGATGGCATGAAGAGGATCCTGCTCATGCAATCAGTTGAATCGGCTGCTCTGGAACAGAGACACGTCTAAAACATGTGGGGCAGCAGAGGACCGGAACTGAAAAACTCTAGCTGTGTTTCCATTGACTGTAGACTTGCGCAAATTGAAAATACAAAAATAACTTTGCTTTATAGAAACACGCTATTTTTGAAAAAAACAAAACAAACAAAAACAAACACATTTTTCACCAAAAGGTTTTTGCTGTGGTTTCTCGGCCGTATCTAGAGAGATGAATTTCGCAAAACTGGAGTGCTGTAATTTTTTGCGTCACAACAGTCACGTGATCAACAGCCGGATGTTACTACTGGAGAAAACAACAAAGAAGATGATGACAGGAAGTGGTAGGAGGATGATGGTTTGTTTTGAACAATGTGTAGCTGGCTCCATCAGAGCTCTCACAGCATTGCACCATTCATTAAAATCTTTCAATTCATTTCTTATATGATGGAAACACTGCAAATGCAAAATTGTGTTTTTTTTTTTTTTGTATTAACAGAATACAGAGAAAATATTTGCGCACGTGTGTGTTGGAAATGCAGCTACTGTCATAAAGCAAATAACATAAAAATATTTTTCCCAGTGTGGGTTTTGCATGGTGTATCTACATCATCTCTATTTGTTCTCTCTGCATTGACCAGTGGAGCCTCTTGATGGCGCTAATAGCTCTATTCACTATACGATTGTTCCATTTGACTGAGGATGTGTGACTGTGATTTTCAGGAACATTACATCATCGTTGTCTAAAGCCCTACACACACACACACACACACGCGCACACACACACACACACACACACACGCACACACACACACACACACACACACACACACACACACACACACACACACACACACAAGCAACCACTGGCAGCAGGTCAGAGGTCAGGGCAGACTGGGATGTTTCGTTTGCACCTTTAACGTAAAGTTCTGCTCTTCTGAATCCGGGAGGCGGGGAGAGATGAGGAAGAGGAGGAGGAAGACGAGGAGGAAGAGGCAGGTCTGTCGGCTGCAGGATTCCATCACTCTTGGCAACCGTTGTTGAGTTTCCACGGAAACACTAAGCCATGTTCCCTGCTTTCTCTTTTGTCCTCCTTCATCACTCTCTGCTCTCTCTCTCTCTCCCTCTCTCTCTCCATCCCGTCTTTATCGCTGGTCGACCTCCCCCTTGCGTTGCCACGACGATGCTCGGAGTCCGCCGCAGTGTTGGAGCGCGGAGTTGAACTGATCGCCTTCCTTTTGCTGTTTCTTCTTCCCCTCTTTAAAGACAAAAAAAAAAGAGAAAAAAATTGTTTGATTGCTTTGCAGCCTCTCACCCTCCATCCCCACTGGGCAGCCATTTGGACTGCCCTGCAGAGTGACATCAGAGGAAGTTGGATGAAGTTGGAAAACTCTTGTACTCTTCTTCTTCTTCTTCAACGTTGCGTTGATGTGTTTTCCACTTCGGCGATCTGAGACGCCTTTGCGGGGACCAAACTCCACTCTGTGAACACTTCTGGAGAGAAAGACAAAAAGAGAAAAGAAAAAAAAAACTTGCAGAGAGAGATGAGTGATGAGGCGGAGGAGGCGCAGCTCCCTGTGGGAGTGATGGAAACCGAGGAGGAGCAACAGGAGGGTGGACTTTTCCAGGAGTTGTTGGAGGAACAGGAGGAGCGGGAAGAGGTGGAGGAGGTGAAGATGTCACTCACGGAGGAGATGCAGCCATGCGAGGTCGAGGAGATGCAGCAAGCTGAGGAGGAGGAGGAGGAGCAGCAGCTGCAGGAGGAAGAGGAGGAGGAGGAGGTGCAGGGTGAGGAGATGCTACAGACTGAGCAACAGCAGCTGCAGGAAGGCGAGGGGACGCACACCGAGGAGGTGCAAGACTTTGCTGACACTCTGGAGCAGAACCACAACAACCAGGTCCTGATCCGACTCAGAGGAATGTGAGTAAACACATTCAGCTGACTGATGATGATGATGTCAGGTTGGTGCTGATGGTGCAGCCACCGGGACGCCATCAGTGTGGTCTCCTGGTTGCCGTGGTGATGTTGGATGGATGAAGGTTTGGGGTGAGGGGGAGGGGGGCGGCGAATGAGAGAAAATTAGTGTGGACTGGTGGGCGTGCAACATCCTGGAGAAAGGAAGAGAGAGAGGAAGCGTGCGTGTGTGTGTGAGTGTGTGTGTGTTTCAGCTGAGGTCTGTGTGGCAGATTTATTCATTTCTTTTTGCTTCATCCACCGACGTGGATTTTCTGCGTCGCAGCACGGACGTGCGAGTCCGAGTCTCCAGCCGCAGATATCGGAGAGAAGAGAGAAGGAAAGAAAATAATAAAAACAGCCCCTGCCCTCCCCCCCTTCCTCCTTGGGCTCTCTGTTGTTGCCATGGCAACGGCAGAGCGTTGCGATGCAGCAAAGTCTCTGCAAAGATTGACAGATCAGCACCAAGACGGAAGGGAGAGATATGCAAATGAAGGCAGGACGCCAGATGCAGACCGTTTGGAAAAGAAACACGTTCACTCGCTGTTTACAGCTGAACACGCGGCGACTCCGTGTCGAGGTGCCACAGTTTTTGTGGATTTTCTGCGGTTTGTCTGGTGTGTGCACTTCCAGCCTTCCAGTTCAGTAGCTCCACTGCGTCCTTCCCAACTTTCGTAAATCCCTATGAATCATCATTCTGCGCTCAGGTGCTTGAACTCCTGCGTCTTAAAACGGGATAAACAGCAACAAGCAGAAGATCAAATACCTCAATAAAAGTTTGAGAGACTGTTGTTGTTAGATAGCACCTAGGAAGTTGGTTCCTGTTCAGTTTGTTATGGGCTGAAGACAAAAAATAATGTGTGAGTTTGTGCAATATATACTCATTTATCTTCACAGACGTAAACTTAAAGGACATCCCAGTTTTGGTCCATTGGGTGTAATGTGATACCTACCACTCTACGGCAGCCTCCGACCTGGGAAGACTTTCAGGGGGGAAAAAAAATTTAAAATCACTCTTTATGGACCTTGACCTTTACACTGGGTAAAAATCTGGGACAGGAAAGGACCGTCCCCCAAACTATTGTAAAGTTGGCAGCAAGAAATTCTCCCAAGTCTGTTGGCTTGCTCCTGAAAAACGGCTCCACACCATTACATCCTGCTCTCCACCCAACCTGAAGGTGTTGTTCTCCTGGCAACTGCCAAACCAAGACGCAGCCACTGGATTGCCAGAGAGAAAAGAGTGAATCATCACTCCGGAGGACACACCTCTGCAGCTCAAGAAGCCAGCGGTGACACGCTTAACAACGCTGCTTCTGACACTTTGAGATGCAGTTTGTGATACAAGAAGGACGCATGAAATTTGAAGGTCCGTAGCAAATGGAGTCTGTGAGAACGCAGCAACCACTGCGTACGATGCTCCCGGCGCACCTCACCTTCTGTTTTTCAGCCGTTCAGAGCTACCTTGTGACTTTTAGACACATCTCTTCTGCAACACACTTCAGTCAAATTAGTGTCTCCTTTATGAGGCTCTATAGAGGTGATTGAAGGTAATATGTAGAGGTGAATGAGGTAATACAACTATTTGATTCAGGTGCATTCTCAAGTAAGAATGGGCAACATGAACTTTCATCATGACATTTAGTGGTATTTATTGAACTGACAACTAAATCGAGGACAAGAAGTACAGAAGTGAACACAAATGTTCATACATGTAGGACAGGTTGGTGTGGAGGTGAAGCAGATTGGATGGAGTCACAGTAACTGTTTTCCATGTGGCTGTTGTATCGTGTTACTTTTGATGATGTAGCGTTTGACCATCTGATTGCTGGAGACCTGAGAGGAGTCATTCATAGCAAATTTAGTGTAATTCGGGCCTTGTATGTGAAAGTAATGCGTTTTAAAATTTTTGGAGAGAAAGCAAACTTTGAGGCCCCGCCCCTTCAGGACGCACAAAAAACTCAACTTTTGATAACTTTTAATCCCCAATTACATAAAGACATTTATTGTTTGAAAACATGCATCAGTTGGCATGCATGAATAAATTGAATTGATTTTTTTGAGTTGACATTTGATTTGGCTCTATAAAAATAAACTGAATTTAGCTGAATTAAAAGTATGTTTTGAAAAATAACCTTGACGCAAGTATGAAACATATTTTCATTAAGCCCCGTTTTAATGGGTTCAGTGGAATTAATTTTAAATTACTTTTCTATTAGCATGATGCCAATCTTAAATGTTATGTTTTCATTAACAGTAAACAGAAATTTATTTTGTAGAATTTATTGAATATATTAATTTAGACTAGTTTAAGTCAAAATCAGAATAAAAGTTTTGACTGTTATTATAGGCTGGATTATTTTAATGGCATAGGGAATACATTACTTTTGTAGCTTAATTAAAATGAAGTAAAACATGTCACACATTTTGTATTTTTTTTTTAGCTCTGTACAATTTCAGTGACATCATGGCCCAGGCCAACGGAGGAAGAAAAAAAGACTTTCCTCACCAGACGGAGGAACGAAACGTTTCCTCTTCCTGTGGCCTTTATTTTTACAAATCCTGAACCAATCTGGTAAAACACTTTTCGTAGAGCGTCATTTCTGTGAATGAATTTCCCCGCATCAGCAGCGACGCACGCTGATACGGATGCGCTTTTGCTTTTTCTATTACACTAAGGCGCTGTGCGTTGAATCAGCTCAACTGTAATCCCCAAAACCTCAAAAGCAAACATGTGAACATGAGCCAGCAGCCGCACACACTCCCTGTTCCTGCAGCTCTCTGGCTAAACGCTGCCACTCACACGGCGATCCTTTGTATTTGGGATGCAAGAGTGTTTCTGTTGGGATTAACACTGCGGACGCCCCGGACTATGTTGTCTGTTATGTCCATATGAGGACATCTGGATTTGGAAGCACATAATGCCGGTCTGATTTTTTGCAGAAGGCATTTGATGCCCAATGAACAAAACCAAAGAGGAAATAAAACATAGTGTCGTCAAGTAAGCAGAGACATATAAACATCAGCTTGTGATAATTACGAAATGGCAGCTTAATTGGTTGAGAGTAATTTGGGAGAGTTTAGTGCCAACGGGGCGGCAATTCAATTGCCTTGGTTTCCTGACACCAACACGGCGACCTCAGTCAGCGCCGCCACTCCGAACGCGGCCAAACCCCGAGGAGTTAACAGCCGACCATCAGCTCTTTAAATGTTAACGATGCTGCTGAACGAGCCAACGAACGCCCCGTCTCACCAGCGCGTAGTGTTTGGCACAACCAGGGGGAAACCACTGGTTTAAAATGAAACGTTAGCCTTCTCCTGTTTCTTTAAACCTTTACACTCAATTCTCAACCGTGTCCACCAAAAAGTTCAAACTTGAGCTGACTTGGCTGTCAAAAGCAAAATTGCTGAAAAATTAGTCATGAAAAATCCTCAATATTTTCCCAGAAAGATGAAAATACTGGGAAAATAACAGCAATATCTAAATTGCTGCGCCAATTTAAAATCTAGTTCTAAATCTTCAGACTTCTACGAAACTGACTCATGATGGAAAAGATTCTTGAAAAGATTGAGTGGCTTTGGTCATGCTGCCAGACAAAATAAATGCAACGCAACGTTTTCTCCTTCGATCTGCTCACCACTGCCTTCTCAATGGCACAGCAAACCAGCTCTAAGGACAGGACAAACACAGCTGTGAGCTTCTCGTCTTCTTCGCTCATTAGCAGCGTCCAGCTGATCTTTATGTTTGTGTTTGCAGCCATGTAGCTGGTTGCTTCGCTTTCAAAAATCTCCCATTAACTACATCCTGCAAACAGCGTCAATCTAATGACACAAAATAAGCTTAGTTTCTTCTTATAAAGCACATTTCAAGATGCATTGATATACTGTAGAGTGATAGGATCAACTGCTTATTATTTACTTTGCATCATATTTAGAATTGCTCTTTCTGGTTTGTTGCAGTTTTTTACATTTGACCAAACTACTCAAACGATTGTTTTGTCAATTTCAGATTCTTCATTATTTATTTTCCATTGGGTTGGAATGGAACAAATTGAAATTGAAAATGTTGTGCTGGTGCAGAGTTATCAGATAAATGTGTTGAGACCCCAAAGACCGCCAGGCAGTTGTTGGTATTTCTGTTGGGCAGCAGAAATACCGTCACACAGGACATGTGGATATCAGGAAGACATTTCGTCCAACAGCTTCAGTTACTCGATTATGTAAAATCTGAATACAGTTTGGTTGGTTGTTAACGATGCTGCCGAACGAGCCATGAATGCTTGTTTGGCAGCATCGGCAGAATTGGTTAGTATGACGAGCTCAGCAGGTGAACAGCTCCACCGGGTGTTTGCCGATTGCTGCTGGCTAGTCTGAAGGAGCTGAGCAGGGGGATTCGTGGTGGAGGCGTAGCTGTAGCTCATAGTAGGAGCTTCGTCCTTGAAGATGGAGCTAGGTCCACCGAGGCATTTTGCACAGCTGAATGGTTGCCACGAATATTAGAGTAGAATCAAGGCAACAGTCTATGTATGTTTTTGATGAGGGAATCAAATTATGACATAATCTAAACTCAAAGAAGTTGATCATACATCTTACTACATTATATATGTAACAAAAATATTTGCTCTGTGTCCATGAAATACACACCATTTGCACAACTTGGCAGTTCTTCTGTACTTGCATCTTGTTCTAGGAGATAGTTGGCAAGTTTAGAGATAAAACACAATTTTACCTGCACAAGTGTGTGTGTTGGTTCAAGCATCTGATGCCAAGATAAGCAAGATAAGTTGTTTTTTTTGTTGTTTGTTTTTGTCTCTGTTGCCAAATCCTGATACAAACATTGGCAAGTGAATCAGTCCTCTGTCTGCAGTGACTCAAAGAGAAACGCTGGAAGTGTAAAAATAAAGATCCAGTTCAGCGCAGAAGCTTGCCTCCTGTCCTGAGGAGGCTGCTGTTGCTGTTTCTCGGTTTTG